AACAAGCAAGGTGTTCTTCAAGGATATTGCAGGTGACAAGGTCACAATGCCTGCTCCTGTGACTTCAGAGATAGCCCCATTCGCATTAGCAATTGTAGTCCGTCTTGGTGGTGAAGTCTTTGAAAAATCAGTAGCATCATAGGTCATGTGGTCAGTAGCCCCTGAGTCAAGTATCCATGTATCAATAGTTTTGTTGGGAAGATTGTTACATGAATCCGAGAGGTGTACGTCTCCCTGTGCTGAGAGTTGAGATTCTGTTGTAACTGTTGCAACCTTACCACTAGTTTCGGCCTTGTCTTGACGTTTCCGAGCTTGGAGTTCATGCCACCAGTCGGGATAGCCATGTAGCTTGAAGCAATTCTCCCGGGTATGCTTTGAGTTACCACAATGAGAACACTTCGTTCCACCAGAAGATGTTCGAGATTTAGAGGACGTACCAGATTTTTCGTTGCTTGAAGGCAGAGAACCCATTGAAGAGGGCGTAAGTTGCCCAGTTTTAACACCTCTAGAGGCCAAAACAGCTCCCGGAGTTTCCATATTGTTACCGGTGATCATGACCCTTTGTCGGATAGCTTCTCTCCGAACATGTGCGTATGCTTGTTCAATAGTGGGATACGGATGCATTTGGAGTACATCTGCCCGAATCTTGTCTAGTCTGTCATCAAGGCCATCCAAGAAGATGTACACTCTTTCTTCTTGAAGAAGAGTATTGTACCGTTGAATATCCACCGCACACTCCATCAGATTTGGACGGCGAAAATCAATTTCTCACCACAAACCTTGGAGATCATTATAATACTTTTCAAGAGACCCTCCAGACTGGCGCAAGCGGGTCACACGGCGTCGGAGATTGTATACTTGCGAGGTATCACTACCATCAAAGTACGTAGTAGCAACAGAATCCCACACCATCTTTGTTGTAGGGAATCAAATAAAGTTACCAATCAAGGATACGTCCATGGAGTTAATTAACCATCCCTTGGCAATAGCGTTGTCGGTGCGCCACCTTCGAAAGCTTGGGTCAGTCTGTGGAGGCTGAGGAAGTTCACCATTAATATATCCCAATTTGTCTCTGCCAGAGATATACATCTCAACAACTTGGGACCAAAGAGCATAGTTGGTGCCATCCAACTTAATGCCGATATGAGCGGCGGAGGTCTCTATAGTCGGGGTCGGTTTGTGCAGGAGCTCAATCATTCTGGTGGTCAATTCAGTGAGGGTAGGATTGGGCTGTTGTTCTCCAAACGGATATGAGGTTTCCGAATCAGACATGGTTGTGTCTGCCGAAGGGTGTTCTTACCGATGGCGTCTCAGAGTAGAAGGGAGTCAACAATCGCACCTAACGCTAAGTGTTAGAGAATGATGTTCGGTCGTTGCAGATTGCGAAGAAGCAGGCGAGTTCGAGACTTCGCAGCGATCAGGAGGACGAGGCGGGTTGCACTCAGCAAGAATTTGCAGCAGCGATATCAGCGGTCAACCACCGACGACCACGGTGAGACGGCGAGATCTGGCAGAGCAACCACCGGACTTGCAGCAGCCAACCACCGGCGACCACGGTGAGACGGCGAGATCTAGCAGATCAACTGCCGGACTTGCAGCGGCAGTAGTAGCGGCCAAACACCGGTGATCACGGTGGAATCAACAGTTCTGATGTGAAGAGGAGGCGGGTTGCACTCAACAAGAGTTCGCAGCGGCAATATCAGCGGCCAACCACCGGTGACCATGGTGAGACGGCGAGATCTAGCAGAGCAACTGCCGGACTTGCAGCGGCAATAGTAGCGGTCAACCACCGGTGACCGTGGTGGAGTTGATAGTTCTGGGTAGAGGAAAAACAAACCACACGTTGGAGCAACCGCCGGATTTGCAGCGGTAGTAGCAACGGTCACCCATCGGCGACCAAGACTTCGCAGCGATCAGGAAGTCGAGTTTGTCACGGACCGTGACGCTCTGATACCATGATAACTCGAGTAGAAGGAGAAAACTCTTCTTATTTCTTATTTTTTCCTTTGCAACGAATGAGTTATATACACACCTCTCCTAGTTACACCCAAACTATCTTGTTCTTCATTTCCTAGTTACATACAAATTATTATGATAAGAGTTATCCCAGAATTAAGGGATACTCTCCTAGTTTACAGCTCATGCCAATAACCTCTGCCTCCAATTGCTGGTAAGTCTTTGGATCCTTGCTCAATCTTGAACGTCAAATGCTGGCTACTTGACAGCGGTGCCTCGAATCACATGCGTCCCGCTACAAATATTTCTGATCAAAGCCAATCCAAAATGATTGGAAGGGCAATTCATCTACCTGATGGCACAAAATCAGTCACCGGATCTCATGGCTCTGTGAACATAACACCTGAGATTCAGTTGAAAGATGTTTTGTTCATTCCTAGTTTCAATTGCAAGTTACTATCAATCAACAAGATTACTTCTCAACTGAATTGTGTGGCAATTTTTTTTTTCAACCTTCTGTGTATTACCGGACCTGATCTCCAAGAACGTGATTCGATTCAGCAAGATGCGTGATGATTTTTACCACTTTGTATTGGTCACACAATCAATAGCCTTACACTCCTCAAGTTTAAATATTGATGCTTTTTCTAGTCTCTAGCACTCAAGATTGGGGCATGTGTCTTATGAACGTTTGGCCTTGATTCCTGGCCCTTCTTCCTGTTTTTTCTTTAAACTCACCACCATTCATTATATTAACAAGGTTTTCATTATCACTCTCTACTTCAACAGAACAGACTCCCATACTAAAACATTAGACCAGCAAGAAGGGCCAGGAACACCACTTGAGTATAAGTTTTACACTCTTATGGCCATTAGAAACTATTGAAAGCAAAAAAAATAAAAAATAAAAAATAAAATAAAATAAATAAAGAGGAAGAAAGAAAGCTTCCCGACACCTTTCTTATTATACCTTCCACCACCAAAGCCCGGCTTGCCTCTACTGGGGTCATCGACATTCAACTTGAACTGTCATATGGCCTATGGGTGATCTTATCTCTTAAAGAAAAATAAATAAATAAATAAATAAATAAAGAATTTGAAACCAGGTTACAGATAAATTCATAGAACCAGACAATGAGGGTGCCTGTATCTCTAGATTCCTTCCTTGAATTGTCATGTCTCCTTACTCCTATATACAGAGGATCTGTAGAGCCAATGTATGAGTCTCGCCTAAATATCACCCGACTTCTAAAATGAATAAGATTACATGCCTTTAAGCATAAGAATCAGGACCTACCTTTAACAGGTTCCATTTTAAGAGATTAAACTAGGCATAGGTAAATAAAGTGGTTACTTTTTCAGGAAAAAAATGGTTACATTCTTTTATCACATGATTTACTGACTATTTTTTGATCCATCAGTCGCCAAGATGGCCGCATGTCAACCCTTCATTTAGGAGGTGCGAGATCAAACCCACAGATTAATTCTTTTTTGTAATGGGTTACTCACCAATGAAAAAAGATGCTTCATACAAAACTATACACACCACCTTTGACTTGTTTCGACTTTTGACATGGCCTGCTGCCGCTCTGTTTTCCTCAGTTCTCTCAGGCCATAGTAAAAGGGAATGGGGATACACGATTGCATCCCAAAATTATTATATAAATCAATCAATTGATAAAAATTGAAGATCGACATATCATGACATCGTGCTGCTTGTCAAGATCTCACCTATATCATCACCAAATTGATACTGCCTATAGATTTCAAGCAACAATTCTCTACAAGGTACAACAGCCCCCAGCTTGATGCAAGCCAAGAATGCACCTGAGAGCTTCCTATGAAGACTGTAGGCCTCATCGGGTGGTGGGGTCAGTCTGTGCTTAAGCATCGTAGCCCCGAGGTTGGTAATGCTCTTGGTGATTGTGGTGGAGCGGAAGTCATACCCACCTGGCTTTGAGAACGGCAACCCCACAACAAAGGCAGCCTGAACATGTGCCTCTAGCATTACTTCAGACTCCATCCCCGTAAGGAATCCAAGCCTCCGTGACATCTCTATTACCACATCTCTGTCACAGTCTGCACATGCAAGCACCTGACCAAATGGATGGAATAACCCTTTAACGCGTACAGCTAAAGCATGACCAGAAAAAAGAGTACAGTATGGATAAAACAGAAAAGAAAACACATTTTTAGTATTTTTATCTTTTTATTTTTATTGTTTAATTATGATATCAAGGGTTGACACATTTGACCTGAAAGGTTGAATTGTTGACCCACAACCATATAGGAAAATAATTTCATTTTGGGGTTAGTTTTAAATTATATTTTTCATTAAAATCATCAATAAGAACAATTATTGTTTATCCCACTTATTTTTCTTTAATATGATTAATATAAAGCATTTGCGAAATTTTGTTTTTTTCCTTCATATTTTTCTGTTTTTACATTTTTTTTTAATTTTTATTATTTAATTCTGACATCAAGAGTTGACTCATTTGACCCAAAAGGTTGAATTGTTGACCCACCACCAAATAGGAAAACAATTTCATTTTTTGGCTTAGTTTTTATTTAAAATGATTAATACAAAATATTAAAAATGTGTTCAAATTTTCTACTTTTTTTTTGCAACTTTTATATTTATTTCTATTTTAAAAGTTTTATTATTTAACTATGGCATCATGGGTTAATCCATTTTTCTTCTTTTTTTTTTTTGTCCAAATATTGAGGAAAACATGAAGAGAATTTTTATACAATGGAAATTTGTTTAGCGGAGGATGTAATAAACAAGTTCAAAAGATCAAAAAGGCGTCCTATTTGAGTGCAAAGATACTGTACCATTCTTAAATAGTCATCAACGAAACTCTTTGGGTAGTCTCGGGCAGCCCCGAAGTCAATGAGATTGATCACCTTTGTATCTTCATCATATAAAAAATTGCTCCAATTAGGATCGGTCTGCATTGGATCAGTTGATAGCAAAGCATTACAACACAAAAAAGTGGAAAACATGAACAACCAATATATTTCTTTCTAAATTAGCTTAATAAATATTAAAATGCATCTGCAGCAGGCACACACACACAGACTGCAAAGAAACAACTAATTGGTTTAGTTGTATCCAAACAAATGGCCTTCCTGAAGGCCAAAAATTAAGAACCCTAATTTTTAGCTCTATGTATACTCCTATCAACCAAATATTGGCTATGATTCCAACCTGCAGTAATGTAGGAGAGCGAATAGAGAGAGAAATGAGAGAACACAAAAGAGACAAAAGTTTGGAAGAGAATCTTAGTGGGTCTGGCGGTAGGATGAGTTAAAAAAGAGTAAAAAGACAGAAATACCCCTGTGCCAAATATGACACATTTACAACACTCCCCCTCAAGTTGGACCATAGATATCAATCATTCCCAACTTGTTACATAATTTGTTATGGCACAAAACACTCACACCCTTAGCAAATACATCAGCAGTTGCTCCTTGGAGCCAACATAAGGAGTACACTTCCTCCATAGAAGATAAATCCTTGCACCCAAGAGCATGTATAGGCTCATATGGGGAGTGGAGTCCAGCACGAACTCATGGACCCTCTGCATGGAGAGCAGGACCTTATAAGCAAGGTTCGAAGTATCAATACGTATCGACCCGTATCGGCCGATACATATTGTGCCGGTGGCTTCCCGATACGGCCCTACAGGGGGTGTATCGGGGTCTGACCGGTTCAGGGGGTGGAGGAGCCTTAAACCGCCCCCCTGAACTGGTCTAAAAAAAGCCTACAAAACACTATTGATATCGCCCGATACACCCCTACCGGCGTATCGATATTTGGAACCTTGCTTATAAGCTATAGCATCCTCTTCACACTTCCAGTCTGGTAGTGATCCAGCTCCTTCTACATAGAGGTTAAATCAGAATAATAGGCAGATAAACTCCTGTCTCCCTGCTTCAGCCTGCAATTGATAGACCCTAGCATGGTGTCTCTGTTATGCATAGGTAGCTCTGGCTTGCTAATCTCTTTTTCTATATAAGCCCACATAAAATTTTTCCTTAGGGATGGCTGAATGGATGGCAGAAGCCATGACACAATCATATAATTTTCCTAGAACAACCTAGCATGTGTCAGTCCCTTCTTAGGTTCAACAATATCACCATCCAAGTACCCAAGCTTCTCCCTTCCCCCTATGAACAGTTTTGCTCCCTTGGACCACTCCAAATAGTTCAGACCATCAAGGGGGTGATGGAAATGAGGAAATCAATGCTCTTTGTACAGATACTAAACATAGAGGTGGTGGAAGAAATTTAACCTGCAGTGACGTAGGAAAGAGAGAGAGAGAGAACAGAGAACAGAGGAGAGACAAGTTTGGAAGAGAATCTTACTGGGTCTGGCAGCACCCACTCTAGTATTATATTAATGTGACTGAAACAGGAGTAAAAATGACCTGCAGTTATTTGCGCCCCCCACCCCCAAGATGTTAATATCTATACCACCACCTACTTGGTCACCTAGACATGGACCTCCAAAACACCTAGGTGATCCTTTAAATGCACTGATAAAGTATAAGTCTATAAGATTTAAACTAAAAATTGAATTACTCATCATGGACATTGTACTCATTTGAAGCGTTAATACAGGTAAAGGGTCATAGAATCTGTCTGTCTTGCATTTTATGCCATCACAATAAACAATCTCAAGACACAAATAGCATTTTCTCAGACTGGATGAAAAGGTGAGATGAGTTTGTGGCAGACAGGTAAGGGGTCATAGAATCTTCAGATCTGGTAGTAGGATTTTTAGGTAAAGGAAGATTATTTGGGTGACTAATGATAAAAAATAGATAAGGAAAAGCAATTAGACACTTTTTGCTTTTTTTTTGGCTTTCACGTTGGCTTGATATATCTGTATGCAGCCCCTCATTATGCTTCAACCCTCTTCTCTCATCAATAAAATAAATTACTTTCTTGAGGGAGAGAGAGAGGAACTCTAGCTGTTACAACAGAAAGACACTTGGAATAAGAAATTAGTAGAGAGAGGGGGGACAGTAATTTTCTTTCCATTCAATAATTTCAATTACAATGATTTATTTATGGATTCAACACAAGGACTTTGATATCCCTTTTTCACATTTCAATTCCAACTTTGGTGTTACCTAACATTTGGCAATCTCTCGCGTTAAGTGGCCACTCTAAAACTCAAACCCGTTTTCTTATGCTTGTCAGCCCAAGAGTTTACTATTGCATCAAGCAGGGCCCAATTCCAAATTGAAAATTATCTATCAGAAAAAAGATGGAAATTTAACAAAATTGACTCCTAATTTCATTAGAGTTAAGGTAAGCCCCAATCTGGTGCACCCCTCCCAAGACCCCAGGATAGCTGTGACCAACAAAAGGAGTTAATAGGGATCAATATTAGTACTAGGGATTGATTCCCTAAAGGGAAGTTCTAAAAGAAAAAAAAAGGAGAAGTACAGACAGGCCCAATGCAGATTTCTGATTTCCACTGCAGAGCTATAAACATTCAAAATGTCAAAAACCCCCACTCTACACACCAATGCCCGCCTGTGAATTGGCATCAATTCCGAGCTGGCACCCACCCCAACTGTACTTTGGGCCTAAAAATTCTGACCCTGGGCTGAACCGTCATTCTCCCAAAAAAAATGGGTGGCTAGCAAGGCTTGGCCAATTACTGCGGTGCTTTGAACATTACTTTGTTCATATCATTATTTTATAACTACGTAATAAATTCATTGATGGTTACTGATCAAAATAGGGTAATCCAATATATAACCTATATGGACACTCAAATATGAATTCCATAAAATAATTATAAAACCCATTACTAATCCTATTAAAATTAAATAATAAACTCTAAGATAGACCTAGAAATAGAAATTTTCTAGTCCTATTACAGACTCACATTATTACTAAAATGGCCACAAATTTCTCAGTACACAACAAATTGTCATTGAATTGGTAATTGAAAACTTTATCTAAGGACACCAAAATCTCAGACTAGTTTTGGCCCCTTTTAACTTGGTTATCACCTCCTCTAAAGAATAAATAAGCCAGTGGACCCCACGTATGAAGACCCAATTTTTGAGGAAGCTCCAAACCAAAGACTTCCTTTTTCTTCTCCTTGGTTTTCATCAGGTTTTATTTTTCCCTTGTTCTTTCATTTGTTTATTTAGTGTTCTTTTTGGTGGGTTAACTTCGTCCAGGTCTACCTCTCAGCCTCTTTCATTTTGTTCTATTTTGCCATCCCTTAATGGATTGGCTTGTTCTACATTCATTCTGTTTGCCTTTTCTTCAATAAAGATGTTCTTTTTGTAATAATAAAGAATACATCCATACTAGTGATGAGAGATCATCGAAAGATCAAGAACCCCAAAACAAAGAAATAAGCAATACAATTCAAAAAAATACAACTAGTTAAGTTCTTGACTCTATCTTTAGTAAAGACCAAACCATTTTCAAGATCTTTGGAGACTTTCAAATTCTGATAAGATAACAATCCACTCCATGATTCTTTTACTGCAAAATAATACTATTTGATCTATTCTTTTCTCTTTTCCTTTAAAAATCCTTCTACTTTTTCTTTCCTGACTTCCCAACAGATGGCAAAGGGAACACTGCTCCAAGCAATATTCGCCTTGATATTTCCTCACATTGTAGGCCACTGAACATTCTCTGCCAAAGTTCTAGGATCCAAGAAGTCAGATTTGAAAAAACAAAGAATATCCCCAAATGTCTTTCGTAAAGCAACAACTGAAAAATAAGTGCAAAACATTCTCTTGAACAACTTTGTATAAATAACTTCTTCCTGCCATGTGGACTCCCCTCCTTTGAATATGGTCCAAAATTAGAATTCTGTCCAAGACTACAAGCCAAGCAAATGCTTCAATCCTAGGTGGAATAGGGTTTCCCCAAACTCCAGCTATCTCCAATTTCTCCACTTGATTTCTTGCAAGAGCATACAAGAATAAACAGCGAAGATGCCATTTTTAGATTCCTCTCACCATCTTAAGTCCCTCCAATTTGAGCTTCAACCGACTGCAACTTCGATAAATAGCTCACACATTCCTCCATAAACTTTATGCACCATAAAACCCTATCTTGGATTATTTCAAAACTTCCTTTAATAGAAACATTCTTCCTACTTGATCTGTACAACCACAAGCAAAGATCACACACTTTACCAATCCCCACCCCATCATCTTCTCTCATCCAATCTTCTCAGAATTGGTGGATCTTAACCAATGGACCATGTGAATTTTGATCCCAAAACTCTACAATCAACCAATCCATTCTTCTAAATAAAATCCCTAAAAATTCTCACAGCCCCAGACACTCTATTCCCTTTCCCCCAGATGTGATTTAGTCCAATAAAAGAACAGTAAAATATTTCAGATTATAGGAGAAAAAGATGGAGAAGAAGGGAGAAAGAAGGAGGAGTTCGATCATATCCTCTCACCCCTAACTAATTCTTTTATTAATCTTCATTAACTAGATCAATTACAAGTCTGCCCTTAAGTGGGCAGCCAGCTAAGCAAGAACTTTAAAAGAACTTATAAAGGAGGTTATCAAGCCCATAAAGATGGGCCCATTAACATACAAAATAAATAACATACTACTTAAACATAAAAGCAGATACTAGGGCCCATTCGGCCTAGCCTCTCTACACTCCCCCTCGATCTGGGCATAGATGTCAATCATTCCCAGCTTGCTTATATAGTGTGTTAGCTTCCCTTTTGGAACACCTTTGGTCAAAACATCAACCAACTGCTCTTCTGAAGAGATAATGACAAGGAAACTTCTCTTGAAGCAACTCTCCCGTATAAAATGTCTTTCAACCTCTATGTGCTTAGTTTTGTCATGTTGAACAGGATCATGTGCAATGTTGATCGCTGCATGGTTGTCACAATAGAGCATCATTGGATTTTCATAGTCAATACCCAACTCTT